CTGCTGCTGCTGCTGCTGCTGCTGCTGCTGCTGCTGCTGCTGCTGTTTTGCTGCTGCTGCTGCAGCGATCGCAGCCGACAGCAGCAGCAGCAGCAGCAGCAGCAGCAAGAAGACAATCACCATGTTTATAATATAATAAACTATAAACAGCAGCAGAAATATATAAATTTTATTTTTATTAATTTATTATAACGAAGTTTGCTGCTGGAAGCTGCAGCAGCACTGCAGCAGCAGCCATAGCAGCAGCAATGCAGCAGCAGCAGCAGCAGCAGGAGCAGCAGCAGCAGCAGCAGCAGCAGCAGCCTTTTTTCGTGTCGCAGCTGCACGCACCGGCGACAGCTTCTGCAACAGCAGCAGCAGCAGCAGCAACAGCAGCAAGTGTTTTACAGCAGCAGCAGCAGCAGCAGCAATTATCTTATATTTGAATCCTCTTAAACCCTTTCTGCTGCCAGCAGAAATACAAATTTATTATCTCCTGCTGCTGCTGCTGCTGCTGCTGCTGCAGCAAGCGGCACCTCGAGCTGCAACAACGCCTGCAGCAGCAGCAGCAGCAAAGAAGCAGCAGCAGCAGCAGCAGCAGCAACGAAGCAGCAGCAGCAGCAGTTCAAAGACTGTCGAGATTTCCTTTCTTCTGCAGCAGCAGCAGACAGAGAAGCAACTAACTGCAGCAGCAGCAGCTGCAGCAGCAGCAACTGCAGCAGCAGCAACAGCAGCAGCAACAGCAGCAGCAATACCCCACCGGGGGAATTCATAAGAGCATATTTGCTGCAGCCCATAGCAGCAGCAGCAGCTCTGCAGCAGCAGCAGCAGCAGCAGCAGCAGCAGCTGCAGCTGCTTGCTGCAACGTAATACGCATGGCTGCTCTTGCTCTGCTGCTGCAGCAGCAACAGCAGCAGCAACAGCAGCAGCAGCATTTGCTGCTGCAGCCATGCAGCAACCTGCTGCCTTCGGAGGGCTTGCTGCGGCCCCAGAAGCAGCAGCAGCTGCAGCAGAAACTGCAGCAGAAGCTGCAGCAGAAGCTGCAGCAGCAGCAGCAGCAGCAGCAACGTCTGAAGCAGTAACTGCAGCATCGTCATCAGCAGCAGCAACACCTGCAGCAACACCACCTGCAGCAGAAGCACCTGCAGCAGCAGCAGCAGCACCCGCAGCAGCAGCAGCACCCGCAGCAGCAGCAGCGCCTGCAGGAGCAGCAGCGCCTGCAGCAGCAGCAGAGCCTGCAGCAGCAGCAGAGCCTGCAGCAGCAGCAGAGCCTGCAGCAGCAGCAGCGCCTGCAGCAGCAGCAGAGCCTGCAGCAGCAGCAGCACCCGCTGCAGCAGCAACACCCGCAGCAGAAGAGCCTGCTGCAGCAGCACCCGCTGCAGCAGCAACACCCGCAGCAGAAGCGCATGCAGCAGCAACGCCTGCAGCAGAAGCGCCAGCAGCAGCAGCGCCTGCAGCAGCAACGCCTGCAGCAGAAGCGCCAGCAGCAGCAGCGCCTGCAGCAGCAGCAGCACCCGCAGCAGCAGCGCCTGCAGCAGCAACACTACCAGCAGAGCCTGCAACAGAAGCGCCTGCAGCAGCAGCACCAGCAGCAGCAGAAGCAACAGCAGTACCTGCAGCAGCAGCAGCACCCGCAGCAGAAGCAGCAGCAGCAGCGATACCAGCAGCAGACGCAGCAGCAGCAGCACCTGCAGCAGAAGCAGCAGTACCAGCACCTGCAGCAGCAGCAGCACTAACACCTGCAGCAGCAGCAGCAGCAGTAACACCTGCAGCAGAAGCAGCAGCACCAGCAGCAGCAGCTGCTGTAGGAGCAGCAGCTTTAGGTGCTGCAGCTGCTGCTGCTTCAGATGCGTCAGCAGCAGCAGCAGCAGCAGCAGCAACAGCAGCAGCAGCAGCAGCAACAGCAGCAGCAGATGCTTCTGTTGGTATATCTCCGACCAGTAGCGAAAGGGAGCCCACGGTCTGCACCCCCAGGAGCAGCAGCAGCAGCAGCAGCAGCAGCAGCAGTAGCAGCAGCAGCAGCAGCAAGGGGAGCAGCACAGCAGCAGCAGCAAGAAGAGCAGCACTGGGGGTTCGCTACAGCAGCAGCAGCGGCGCCTGGTGCTGCTGCTGGATAGACCCCTCAAACAAACACAAATATAAATACTTTAGGGTTAGAGACTTTGGCCACGAACAGGTAAACCCTAAACCCTCGTAAACCCTAAACCCTCGTAAACCCTAAACCCTCGTAAACCCTAAACCCTCGTAACCCCTAAACCCTCGTAAACCCTAAACCCTCGTAAACCCTAAACCCTCGTAAACCCTAAACCCTCNNNACCCTAAACCCTCGTAAACCCTAAACCCTCGTAAACCCTAAACCCTCATAAACCCTAAACCCTCGTAAACTCTATACCCTGATAAACCCTCATATACCCTTTTATAAACCCAAACCCTAAACCCTACACCCTTCTAGATACTCTAAACCCTAAACCCTAAACCCTTTTATAAACCCTAGTGTATCATGTTATAAACCCTAATAAAATAAACCCTTATAAACCGTAGACCGCAGAATCAAATTAGGGCTTAGGGTTTAGGGTTTAGGGTTTAGGGTTTGTCTGCATGCAGGCGAGGCTGCTGGCTGAGAAGTACTGGAATGCGAAGGTGGTTGGGGGGGATGCAGAGCAGCAGCAGCAGCAGCAGCAGTTGCTGCAGCAGCAGCAAGGGGGAGAATCTCCTGTGTCTGGTGATGGTGTATCTGTCTTCGGCCAAGGATCAGCA